GTAAATGTGGTTCTTGAAGCTAATTCTCTAAGTGGGAAATATATATATTATACTCCTAAATTCACATGAATTCTTTGTTTTCCACACATGAGCAGCTCTGACACAATGGCACATCCACTCAGATAGGTATGTCAAGGTCTAACATCAATAAACAAAAGGGGAAGGTGAAGGAAATGCTGATGAAGTCAAAAAAAGGAAAAGAAAGAAACAGAAAAGGTCTGGAGGAGGAGACTGTATGCATGCACTCGGGTGGAACATTGTTCCCAGGGAATCTCAGTAAGAGAAGCCAATGACGCAGAAAGATCGAGTGTGTTAAGAGTGCGTGTTTGCTCCCGTAAGTGAAAGGCAAAGTCTGTGGCTGGCCTTGTTCATTTCTCCAATAACATTCTAGGTCGCGGTAATAGCTAGATAAAAGCTTTCAATAGAAACTTTTCCGGTCTGGACATTAAAGTGATTAGTGGTGAGATGAGAAATGCTTTTTAGTCAAGGACGGTGCTGCTATTACGCAAAGTGTGCCTGGTCCCCTCTGCAGAAGGATGGTAAATGTTTTCTGATCATATGTATTTATGAACAGGGAGTGTGACATTTTGCAAGATGTCAATGTTAGTTAAGTCAATGAAACATATTTCCTTTTACGCATTAAATGCTGCAATCACTGAGCATGCTCTCAGTTCTATAAAGTGACCTGAAGTTGGAACTACCTCAAGGATGAAACATTATAGATGTCTGCTGTAAATACACAAGCTTTCCTGCAGTTATTGTTCATGTTCAGGACAATATGACACTCAAGTGGGTTCTTGAGAGTACACATACCATAGAAATAGAATGAAGCAGAATATCTCCATTCAAATTGACATAACAGGGCTGTCAGAGAGGCAGCCAGTAACTGCTGTAAAATGATAACTTCCGCCAAAAAGGACTAAAACGAGAGATATGTTGATGATCAATCTCTGTTGCCATACTGTTAGAGAGGAATTAACGATTGATACCTTATCTGTGTGTTTTAAATGACGCTGGAGCAGAGTATGGTTAAGCTACCTTAGCTTAGCATGAAGACTGAAAACAGCTAGTCCCACCTTGTCTAAAGATAAGAAAATGTACCTAATATACATGTTAAATCGAATGTGTTTAATCTGGACAAGAAATGGAGTCGAAATGAACAAGGGTCTTAGCACGAGTCAGTGACTTCCTGTTGTCTTTGCAATACGTATATGTGCTAAGCTAAGCCGGTGCCTTCTGGCTTCATATTTAACAGACAGTTAACAGAGCAGTATATAACATCAACAGGGCCAAGGATTGTTCCAAGTAGTTCATCAGGTTGTATTAAAAAGCAACGGCCTAATTGTGTTGGATATAATTAGCCCTAATAATAGCAAGGCCCAGAGACCAGAATACTGATACAACATAAACATACTATACCACAAAGCAAACCGAAGCATGGCAATAAGTGTAATGCAAATGTTTCCCCCTCTTTTACTTTGGCCTTATTACTAAGTTCTGGAATGAAGTTGCTCCATCACAGTGTTCACAATGAACTCACAGATAAACTGCTGTGACCCTGGCTCTGGAGGAGCAGCAGTCCACATGATGAACACAGAAAACATTTGGCAAAAAGGTGTCTGGGTCACAAAGCAGGAAATGGGAGGGGAAGTCAGATGGACAAGGACCTGCTGACCTACACATGATGTCTGACTCCAAACACACAAAGACATGCACACACACATGGGCTCACACACACATAATAGAAAAAACTAGGCCCCCGTCCTATTTTTGGGGGAGCTTTTCCAGTTGTCAGTTTTAGCATTCGTTCCATCTTCCAGGCCTGGGGACAAAGACATCAGGAGCAGAGAGAAATACATTTAACACATTAGACAGTCCTGACTGAGGAGTGCTGTGTGACCGCTGAGGAGAGGATGTGCATCAGCAAAGCAATCATCAACAATGCTGGGATGTCACTATCGCACAGAGGGGTCAGTGAGTGAAGGCATCGGTATACTTTAAAAAAAGTAATCATTATGTGTTACTGAGGGCAACTTCATGAATTCCCTGGAAGAGACTGTCCAAAATGGTTCAGATTGTCCTGAGCAAGAGAAGTATGACCTACACTAGTTCATTTTAGCATTCAAAACCCTTAACTCTATAGTTTTATGCAGCTCTGAGTGAGAATTTCCAAAATACGCGACTGTAAGACAAGGATAGAATAGCTTGCTTATTGTCAGAAGACAGAAATTAGAGAGACCTCTATAGTCAGGTGATTCTGACATTCCATTACAGACAATACCAGTGTCCAACAGAGGGTGAGAAACTTACTACAAGCACACAGACAGACAAAGAACAGGGAAAGATCGCGACCCCTTGCATTCCATCACATTGGATGGCGCAAAGCCAAGAGAGGAATTCTCCAGGATTGCCCACACTACAACTAGCCAATTACAACTCCCGATAAAAGGAATACGAGCCTGGGTAAAAGGCACAGCAATACTCTCCACCGACGAGGCCAATTCAATATCGATCCAGCAATTCCTTTCTAAAAGAGTGGACTCAACATTATATGGCTCGATTATGAAGTTCAATTTTTGTTCCATTAGATGGAATTCCACTATTTGTTGCAAAGCTGATAATCATCCAGGCGCAGAAGAAAAATTGAAAAAATGTTCATTAAGACCACAGTGTGATGCTGTGCAGTGTTATGGAACAAGATGATCAATTACATTCCCTTCAACACAGACTATTTTAATGTTTAATTAAAGGTAGGGTAGGTAAGTTTGAGAAACCGGCTCGAGATCGCTAGAATTTGAAAATACACAACCGGAGAAAATCTGCCACTTCCTTACAGAGCCCCTCCTCCAACACACACGAACGCGCACATGACCAATGAGGGCACGAGATAAGTTTGTGCACAGATGGAAGGCTGACAGGCAGGTAGGCCATCCAGTTATTTTAGCCTGGCCGGCTAAAATGATTGGTCGTGCTTTTTACAGTACTGCGGCTTCCACAGATCACATTTTTTTATGGATTTTTTGTCAAAGCACTTAAGATATTCATTGCTATCGGGATGTTAAGAGCATTCCATGGAATATAACAAAAAGTGTATCTCGAGCCGGTTTCTCAAACTTACCTACCCTACCTTTAAAAGTGAAACAACTGAACAACTGAACTACTTTGCATGTACAACCAGGAGTGATGTATCACCTTCTTCCCCATATGCAGCATATCATCACTGCTGATAATGCAGTAAACCAAGGAGGTGGTGGTCAGAATTAAGTTTGATAGTCAGGGCAGGAAATGTAATGCCCTTCAAAATTGCGTCATTAGCTTTTGTGCTCGGCAGAAAAAAAATCTTCAATACGAGAATATTAAGGATTTTACCCATATCTGTGAAAAAATAGACAACCGAGAGCAGAGGAGAAGCTGTGTCAGAGAGAAAAACAGAGATATACAATTCATAGAAGAGAAGTTAATGGTTGCGATGACGGGGTTTCCCACCCATGACTCAAGTGTCTGCCTGTGGTTGACTATCTTTTCAGAAGGAAGTGATGATCTCCAGCTGAGATTCCCCACCCTCCACTCCCACACCCTGTGGCTCTGACTCCACTGCCACAGTGCTACTGAGAATGGAAACTGGCAGTATAAAAAGACAAAAATCTTCATCATTTAGGCTCTCTTCGCCTTTTAACTGATACTAGGTAGAGAAAAACCCAATTTAGTTGTGCTGCCACGGGATATTTTGTTGAGCAGAAATGCATCACAGCCACTTTTTAAGCAAATGTATTGTTGAATAAGATGCTATTGGGCCACAGACACATCTGTTTCCTCTCCAAGCCAACCTAAGCTCCACCTTGTTGGCAATATGTTTGTACAATAGATGATAAGGGAAGTGAAAGCGTGATTGCAGAGTACAATACAGACATCTCAAGGAATGAATAGCCTAAATTTAGCCCAATTTAATCCTTTGTTAGACGTTTTTCATTTGACTCACAACACTTACTTATTTCCATTGTCTATCACTGCACTTCAAGAATACCTCCTCCCTCCACATGAATATGAGGCCCCTCTCTGATGGACAACTCACACCCTAAAAGTCCACTAACCTCACCCTGATCAACCCAGTGCTTTAACGCTGCAGTAATGAACTACTATGTCATCTCTTCTGAGCATGATGTCCACATGCACTGACAGGAGCTACGCTGAACCCTGAAAGATTAAACAGTGAAATCATAAATCATTCATTGTTCTTGACATGTCACAAGCAGGTCATTAGTCATCCAACAGTTGATCCCAGGCCACTTCAAAACTGTGTGAACCTGTCCTGTCACCGCCTCTGGAGTTAGACAGGAACCACTTAATGGGTGTAAAACATCCATACAACATACACACAGACATACTCTCAGACAGTAAGACACACACACAAGCACACATTTCCCTGATCATATCTCTCTCCAACAGACACAAAGGCTTATTTGTCCAACTTAAAAATAAATAAAAAATGTAACATGCCCAATTGAGGGCTGTATTTACAAGTTCTGAATGTTCTGTTTCTACTGGAAACATATCTGTAATATTCCTTGAAACATATACATATGAGATAACATTTAGCAAAGACATTTTTTTTTTTTTTGAAATACAAAACAAATTGGAACACCTAAAATAGATGGTACTTGGTCCACTGATCTTTGGGTCCAAATATATGGTGGACTCTTCTTCTACTTAAGTTTCCCGGAAGACACTTTTTAGACATTATATGCATCTTTTGTCATCAATCGTGCAAAAATGTAACATGGAGGCAGTAGAAATCTTATTGATAACACCCTCGAACTGATGATAGCACAAGTGCCAAGACTATGAGCTATATTTTGGAGGATTATCAAAGAAAGATTGATAAATATGTTGCAATATTGTTGGAAAAACATCACAATTGAGCCCTATATTGTGCAAAACGGGTCCGGTTTTTCAGTTTTGGCATTGATAACCGGGCTCCTGTCCCATCCCCTTGTACTGACCTGCTGGTAGTTCTCCTCTTCGGGCTGGAAGCTGTTGTCAATGGGCTGAAACCTCAGGTTGATATGAGGGAAATTGTGAAGCCAGTAAGTCCACCAGGGCGCAATGTAATCCACCCGGGCCGAAGACATCCCTGCCCAGATACAAAAAAAAGTTCGACGACAGCCTAAATTAGCCTCCCGTTACTGAAGCGGGCCCCGGAGATCTTAATCCCGTCTCATATCAAACAAAGACGGAGATAAAAGCATGCTCGACTGTGGAGACACTCTCTCAGCCACACATGAGAAAAACCGTAGAAGAAGTCCAGTCAGACACCAGTGTTGCTGCAAAGTGAAATCCGGCAGAGGTGTTTGCATGAAAGAAGAAATAATCACACAGCGCCCATGTCTCCGACTCCGTGTCAGTGAGGACCCTCCGCTCCTATCCGGCCGACAGATACTACACACTCAGAGGGGACGCGCAGAGTAAGGACACGAGGAGAGACGGGAGCGCGCAAGGAAGCCCCTGATGTTTACAAAAATGTTTTCCAGCAGGAACTAATATTGTTAAAAAAAAGAATGTGTATTCAATGTGTAGTGATATAAATGTAATATCGACAGCTTTAAATTGTTTAATCATTGTTTCAGCCGTCTCTCTGCGGAATGAACTACCGCACTGCCACCTAGTGGTTAACGCAAGCCATTACAAATATCTTTCATTTACAGCAGGTGTGCAGGTCATGTCCTCATGGTGGACGTCAGAATCAACCATGAGCAACCTTAGCTTCGCCATTTATTTGAAAAGGAAAAAGGTGTTGAGTCAGTTTATAGATCTGTAGATACCCCAATGAATATACTTGTGAAATCTGTAGAAACTGCAGTAGTGATTTTCTGCTAAATTAAATCCCAGTAACAATCCGATGTAAAGCATCTATTCACAGGTCTACATGCTAAGTTTGTAATGGTGCTGTAGTACAACATGAAACTGTTTAGCTAGTTGCATTGTACTTTATTAACAATGTAAAAGGATTCTCCCACTGTTTTTCAGATGCATTTGTCAAATAAAGCATTGCAGTAGTGTTCAGCAGTGAAGGGCCAACTAGCTTGTCTTTTACAAATGCTCCAGATCATTTGAAGGACAGCTAATTTACATCTTCGAAGGCATTTACTTGGAAAAACAATATAGGCGATATTAAATTATTTGAGGGAACATATACTACTTAAATACTCTTCCACCTGAGTTATAGCAAGACTGTATACAACTAAACATACAATTGGAATTTGATTATAAAATGTAATTGAGGGCAATTGAGCACGTTCAATAAATAAGTGAGGCATATTCAAGGTTAATGTCTCATCATTTGGGATAGTTTTTACAGAGCTTTGACACGGACAGTGGTTCCCCTCACTTTGCCTCTTACTACTGATTATAGCTCAAATCTGACATCTTGTGGAAAGAGGTACAAATACATGACCATGCTGTTTTAGCAAACAGGCTAGACCAGGACAATTCAGTTGAAAAAGAAAACCCCAAAGAGAAATAACTGTTTTCCATTTTTTATTACAATTATCTGATCACGGATTTACTTCAGTTCCTTGACAGCCAGACCTGTGAAGAGGAAAGGAACATTGGTTAGAAAGTCACCAGCAAAAATCACACCTGCAAACAATGACACTAATTTCATGTACCTAACATTAAACATTTTTCACTTCTGAATACAAGTGGTCACTTTTGGTTTGAGGTAACTCACTAATTAACACATGTTTGGAATTGCATTTAAATAACCTCTTAATTATTCAACTATGATCACTTATAAGCAGCCACCTAAAAACACTAGTGAAGACTGAAAACATCCGGGTCTGTCATTCTGATTTATAGAAGAGAAAAAAATAGCCAACCCCACATGCAGCTGAATTATTTGTAATTATCTAATATCAATAAGATGCAATGACAACTATATTAAAGTCAACTTTGAGTCACTGCAAACATCACAAGGAGAGATATATGTCCGGTTGCTCAGTGCACACAAATGAAGGTTCTCCTTATACTCCCTGTCCATCCTTCTTTAGTCATGTTAAAATGGAGAAAATTGTTATGTCTATTTTTTGTTTAGCCTTTGTTGCAATGATGGGAGTATTATACATTATGTTTTTTTCAGTTTAAGTTCTGATGTTGCTCCTGCCCGTTTCAGCCTTTAGAACAGTTGTCATCAACCATACATCTACCCTATGTGGACTCTTCCCATTTAAAATGCTACAAACCAAAGCCGTTTTAATCTATTTAAACTTATGTTTAGTTACTGTCCATAACACAGGTTGTGCTCCTGAGGCCCAAGAAATGCATTGAAATCACTTCAAGCACCGTAAAACAGTTGCAATGTGTTTCTGTGAATGCTCAGAGAATTGCCTGGTTTACATCATTTGAGTTTTACATTATTCTACAGTAAATTGCTACAACTAGAGCCATCCTCTGCTGTCAGATATGCACCACACCATCCCGGTAAAAGTGAATCCTTGAAAACATGCTAGTAGAATAAGAAACTTAGGCCAACAAATCCTAACATCATTCAAGTGGTGCACAACAGGGTTCCATCAGGAAAGAGGGAAACTTCTTTAAAAAACCGAAAATGTAAGACTATGTGCAAGGTCAAATGAAATGTCTTGTTAGATACTGACCTGGGGGCAGAGACTGCTTCAGCTTCTCAGCCTTCTCTTTGTCTGTGATGACAAGGGTGTACAGGTACCTGCTGCAGCGCACCTTGAACTTAACATTGTCCTTGTTCTTCTTGATCTTTACGGCTGAAGAAAGAGAAAGAAGCCAGTTTAGATGCAGCTCTAGACAACTACTTGGATTAAAAACCATTCAAACATCAGTGACACATGTGAGCATCTCTTCACTTTCAAACCAAGACTGTAGTGATGCTTTACAGATCTAAAACTTTTATGCTAGGAAGTTTATAGGACACACCTGTATGTACTTTTGCCTGTAGACACATTTTCAATTTGACTAATCTTAACACTCAATGTAACCCTAGTAATTACTGAGTAAAGTGGGAGAGTCCATTAGTCTGTACTGAAATAGATTATTAAGTGTTTAAGTATTTATTTTAACAACAAAGATTCTATGTACTTGTTTAAGTTTCTTGCAGAAGCCAAACATGAAGTTAAGACATACATTGCACAACTAAAATCAACCATATAGGAACTTAAGACTTACACTTGGCATCCTTCCTCCTGGCTGTGAGCAGGAAATCTTTGATTTCTTCGATCTTGCGAGGCTATGCAGAAAAACAGAAGGCACTAATATTATTATTGAGGCACAGTATCAAGACAGAGATTGACAATGGACAACACAGTGATGTTAGGGGACCGGTGGAACTGATGTTTCTGGTCACAATCGAAACCCAGCACTAGGTCCATCATTATTCTTGCAAGACTTAAAAAGCATCACGAGCACATCAGCCTGAGATGATAGCATGCCTTGCTGATGACAACCATAGGTCAAAAGCTACATTAGCTAGCAACGCCAGTCTCGGGTGGCTAACGTAAGATTAGTAAACTAGAAATCAGATGTTATTAGCCACAGCTAACATAGTTCAAAAGTAGATATGAAATTATTAACTCTAGCACATCACAATTTGGGTAAATACATGCGACTATGGGCTCGTGAACATGCAACCGACAGCAGCCGGGTGGCCCAGTGAGCAGCAGTATGCTAATGCTAATCACCAATGCTAGCCACCGTATCTGACGCTCTAAATATCACAACAAACACAGTTCAGGTAACACCATTCCAACACACACAAGCTACATCATTATTAGCTATTCACACCGAGCTATTAAAGTATTTAAAAGAGAAGTTCTTACCATGCTGCCGTGTCAGCGGACTGAACGCTGCGGGAAAGCAGAAAAAGATGGAGTCAGTTTATCGGTTATAACAACGGGAATAGACGTCTCGGAAATAAAATGATTATATTGTCATGGGCCAACTGAATTGATACATTGTATTTTAGCAGTAGCGGGGATATAACTATTGGTGGAGATGAGGATGGATGATGATAGTATTTGTCATTTTTGTATGTGTCAATGTGGAACTCACTTAAGTCGTTCAGAGAGGGGATGAAGAGGGACGGAACTTCCGGTTAGGAAAGCTTTTATACGCTGCTACGGCAAGCAAAGAGGGCCAGTGGTAAGAAATAAAAGCGATTTACCCATTGTCGTTTACAAAATCATATAACCCAAAAAGATCAATATCATTATAATAATTTGATAATACTACATTCATGTACGTAAGTAGAAAACACAGAAGCCCTAACAAACTTGGTTTGAATAGTATTTAAATAATTATTACCTGATTCACACAATGGAGAAAAGTTGTCATACTTTTAGGTGATTTGACTGAGACGGAACATTTTTAATTTGTATAATTCATGATACATCTATCAACAGTATGATTTGTTGAGCGTCTCAAAATATATATGATGTGTGATATAATCGTTTGTTTTAATGTGTACAGAAATGTAGTTTACGACTATGCTGAAATGTGAAATGTGAAGATGCCATTTCTTAAGTATATTTCATATTTGTATTTAGATGGACATTATTTTTATTTATTTTTAAATACCTCTATCTTTACTTACTGTTGTACATCTTGATAGGCTTAGAGCAGACAGTTGTTATACAATCATAGAAATACACTGGCATAACAGACACCCAAGATGTGTTAGGCCAGTTTATGAGGGAGGCATTTATTTTAATCAAGCAGATCCCCTTTCATCACCGTATGTGACCTAACTGTGTAAACTGTTACCTGTTTTGAGTACAGTTTGTGAAAACACTATGGGAAACAAATTACATCTTACAAACAATATGTAACTACTTCTGATTAATAAAGGAGCATGTGTACAGTGTATTTTCTTTACACAGTTTGATTGCAGACCTCATAAACTCAGGTTAATCTCAGCCTGGCTGCTGCTTGTCAATCATTTGTTGCCTCTGGGATATCACAGGCAAACTATGAATGTATTCATATGGTTCTTATCTGGACACTGATGATACACGTGAGCCATTTTTTCTTTCCAGCATGTATCATAAAGGATATAATACCTGTAAAGCATGACTATCATGCAGAGGCCATTGCTCATTTTCCTATTGCACTTTTGTTATCCTCCAATCATGCATTGTTCTTTATTAAGCTCTTCACGTGAATAGTCCATTGAATGTTGTTTGTGCCTCTCCCTCAGTGAATACTGACCATTAAACCTCATATGCCCTTTCCGCTTGTAAGCTGCTGAGAAAACAGTTTGACACTGCATGCAGTGATGGATGCCCTATCAATTCCTTTTCCTGCACTGAGGTTTAAAAAATGAATTTAGGAAACCCTTTTGAACCCTATTTTGTATTGTGTATTTGATTTCTGTATTGAAGAGTAGTCATACTAACCCTGCCAAACTGATTACATATAT